GCGATTCTTAGTGTTAAAGGTTCAGTCCATAGGACCGCAAAAAACCGGTGGACCGAACTGAACCGGACCATGGTCCGGTCTTTTTNTCGGTTGCAGTTGCCCCAATTTGGGGTTGGTCCGGTTGCCGGTTGCCTCATTTCGAAAATATATTAAAACCGTTCAAAGACCGGTTTTGATCGGTTGCAACTGGTTAAACGGTCACGTGCGTTACATACCCTTGTAACCACGTTTATTACCTTTTATTGGGTTTTTGTTTCATCAAAAACGGATAAGAATTGAGAAAGATATAACCAAATCCATATTTTACCCGAGTCTCTACGAGATGTAATTCGGTTTCAGTCGTATCTATGTCAAATCTTCATTAAATCTCTTCAAAATTGGTAGAATGACGGGTATTTACATGCTTCACTATTTCATATAACCCGTTTATTTTTCAGAGTAATAATAGTCAAGATACAAATGGTTTATATTGGTATAATAAATTATACGCAAAAAAACCGGTCTGGATCGGTCTGAACCGGCTTCATAGACCGAAATAGACCGGTCCTAGGTGGTTCGGTTCGGTTCCCTCAATATCTGGGTCGGTCCTAGACTGGTTGCGGTCCACGGTTGCGCGTTTTGGGGGCAAAAAACCGGACTGAACTGAACTTGCGAACACTAGCGATTCTCAATATCATACGTCAGAAGCCTACGCTGAAGCACCTTGGGCTTCCCAGGCGCTTTGCTAATCACGTTCAGAGTTCCAACATCGACCCCAACAGCATGTCATACCCGGTAAGTTTGTTGTCCTTATTCTGTGATGATATGGCTGACAACTCACATAGCTATGGAATATATCCAACCTGACTGCCTTATGCCTACTCGGAGACGCTTGGGTAAAGTCGGGAAATGCTGCGCACGTTAGCCACATGTTTGAGCTATCACCAGGGCTTGAGGTGCATTCAACATGACAACCTTGTTTTCCTTATCTAATCTCATCCCTTCTCTGCCTCTTAGTACCTGGAAATCCCCCTCAAATTTCATAACCTCGCGAAATGCAGGTTCCCCCGCCTCAAGAAGCTGAAATTGTCGCTCCAATCTGGCGCTACGTCTTCAATTGACGAGTCACGTGCACGATTCCTGGAGAACCATCCAACGATTGAGGAACTGACTTGGTTCCCGAGCGGCATTCCCAACCTCGCTCCTGGTAGCTTGCCCATCTTGAAGTGCCTCAGGACGAGCCTTCAGGTGGTCATCGCGCTTGATCAGCTTTCCCAAGATCATGTTATACCGGTTGAGAAACTCGTTGATCAGGTTTCACCACAATGACTAACGCTTCCAATGCCAACCCCAGATCCCCCAGTCCTCTGCCCGTTAGAATGTCTCGACGTGCGTTCCGTCGACGCTCAGACCCTGGCAAGCTTCAAGACATTCGATCGGATGAGTCTTCGTAGACTCAGATTACACATGCTGGGGGATCTGCACTCAATCCACCAGCTCGCTGAGTTCTTCCCCAACATCACTTGGCTTTCCTTGCCTGCCGTTCACCTCCCTAAAGATGCCATCCATCCAGCTAATGTGAAACTTGTACGTGTGCCCCGAAATCATCGCTATCCATGACTCTAACAACAAACAGGAAGAATGGTTCTCCATTCTCTCTCTCTTCCCCAACCTCGAGGTATTCCGCGGTCG